ATCCAGGCAGGTTTTGAAGACCTCCAGAGAAAGAGACTCCACAACTTCTCTGGGCAGCCTGTTCCAGGGCTCTGTCACCCTCACAGTAAAGAAGTTCCTTCTCACATGGAGATGGATTAATCCTGCCACGCCTAAACGCTGGTGAAGGCAGCATATGGCTGCCTCCGCTTTCCTCTTCCCATGGCTTGCATCCCTAGCGAGTCACTCACTTGCTGGTGGTGGTGATGGCTCCTCTTTGGGGGCTTTGTTGCTGACTCCCAAGTTGGGTGCCCAGGCCTGCAGGGTCTTGTGAAGCTTTCCTGTGAGTGACAATGACTCCTGCTCAGCCCTCTCTTCTAGGATCTCTTTTTGCCCTCTTCTTCACCCAAGGCACCAACTCCAAAGAGGAGCCATGTTAGCAGCATGAGACCTGCCAAGACTTCACAGTTCTTTCTCATCCCCAAGCTCTTCCTTCCACCTTCTGTTTCTAAAGGTGCTGGCTGAAAGCAGCAGCAATCCTGGCACCGTGCTGCTGAAGAGCTGGGCAGCCGTCGCAATTTGAGTTACATGGATTTGTGTCTGCTACGCTTACATAGAGCTCCTGGGGTTGACACTCGTGCTTAAAACCTGAGGTCTGCAGAAGCCAAGAGCCAATTACTCCATACGGTTTAGCGCAGGGCAGGGGAAGCAGAGAGCATCTCCGAAGGCTGTGACAGCTGCTGCCCCCAAGCATGCGTCCCGTACATGGGATATCGCAGTGGCACTGGAAGGGTGTCACCTTGGGGGCTGCCAGCCTCCCTCAAGAGCAGCGTCCATCCCCAGTTCCTGTTAGCAGTTCCACTTTTATGTCCTGTTTCTCCCTGATGATTGTCCCTGTTGCGTAGCTAGTGCAGCCTGAATCACCCAACCAGTGGCGGTGCCTCTGGGAAAAGGCCTGGTCATTTGGGAAAAGAAAGGGGAATGGACATGGCAACCCAACACACACTGGAGGTGGCACTTGCCCAGCAGCCTGGGTAGGAGCGTGTAGCAACTCAGGCTCACCTGTGACTTTGCCCTCTGCACTATTGTTGCATGCATAGGAGGAGGCTTTTTATCCAAGGGAGGGTATTTGCACACCACGCGGGACATTTTGGTCTTCTGATAACCGTTGCACAGGTAATATGTTTCTTCATTAATTAAAACAACAAAAAAAAACACTTGTAGAGTCCCCTCTCATCTAACAGTTTCAGACTCCTGTTGTTTGGGTAAAAAGAGTCTGGCTTAGTGTACTTTCTTATATGTTTGATTTTTCTATTCTACAAAAATATGTATTCATTGTGCCATGTCATCTAGGAGGACTTGGCACAAAGTCCTCAAAAAGGGCAAAAAGACTACTACAGAGCAAGCAGGCCACTTGCTTCGAAGTCTAGAAGGATGCAATTTCAGCAAAAGTGCAAAGCTGTTTTTATTTGCAGCCTCATCTTTCCTCAGCTGTCAGACTTTCCTTTTAAAGGTGGCTAAAAATCAAATTTTGCAGGTGGATTTTTGTCTGTAAACACACTATTCATGTTCCTCAAGCTGCAGTCAGTGTATTCTTTGAGGGCTTTGGGAACCTAGTCACCTGTTAGGTACACTCCCCCTAGATAATTGCAATCAATACAGCTTGTACGTGACCTTAGTTTTTAAGACAAGATGGCTTGATAAGTGTTGTTCCTTTTTTTTTTTTTTTTTCCTACTTGCACTAGTACCGTACAAAGAGAACAAAGCTTAAAGTTGGCCTGAACCTTCAGCACAAGTTGAAATCTGCCTCTGCTGTAGCAGGCAGCTGAAAGCAGGCCCCAGCCTTGGCAGCCCTGGGTGGCTGTCTAGATGGCACTGTTGGAGCAGCAGCCACTGCAGTGAACCCCAGACAGGGTCTCCTTAAAGGTTAACTTAGCGTCTTCATTCAATGTTGTAATCGCAGTGAGGTTTCACAGTGAAACTTCGCCTGACTCATCATGAGCTGAAGAACGCCTTTCAGAAGCTACAACAACAGCAAGCAACGTGCCAAGTGCTGTACCCACCTCATAGCCTCACGGCTGCTGGCCAAATATTAGGGAGCTGCTGTTTGTAGATAGCAGTTGTTTGGGGCTGTGCATTTGGTCATTTGCAGGATGAAGTGCTTCTAGAAAGCCCTGGCAGGCGGCAAGTCTGGAACGCAGCATCGCCAAGCTCTGTTCTAGCACTCGTCACCAGTAATCTCAGAGGAGCACACCGAATGTGTATTGACTTAGCCTCGCTTACCAGTAAGCTGAGCTGCAGCGAGGCTGTCAAGTTGCTCAAGCACAGCCACTGGCTGGTAGCAGAACGGGATTGAGCACTGTACATCCTGCCTCCCAGTCTGTTGCTTGAACAACCCTAGCATTGAACCGTCCTTTCTTGGCCTTAATGTAAGGGGAAATATTAAACCGACTGGTTACAAAACTCTTTCAGAAACATCCCTAGTAGCAGAGAATCTGATTGTGTAATCATAAAAGCACAAGATACCACCCATATTTTTGTTTAAAAGGTGCCTTAGAGGATTAAAATGCATTCCCAGAAAATTTGTTCCCAGTGGTGTAAACACATAGCCATCTCCTGGGAGTGGGACTCTAAAGAGCCTCAAAAAGATCAGAGGACTGAACGTGACCTTGTACGTTCACACCTTGAAGTACACAGAAGTTTGTGCGTGGTGGAAGCATGGAGCTCAGCTCAGCTGCACGACTGGGAAGGTGTTTAAAGCTCTGCTTCCAGCTCTCATTTTCCACAAGCCCAGGACCTTGACCTCCCTGTGACTTTAGTCCTTACCTTTCAGAAATCTGTCTGGGACAGTCGTGAGTCCTGCCCTTGCAGAATGCGCTTAAGTCTGTTGCCCCAGAGAGGCCCATGCTTTTCATGGGCCACCTTTTTTGAGATGTCTTAGGTCTGACAGTGCTTAGCTCATTGGAGCTTTGCTCTTTCTGAAACTCAAGTTGTCTGTGTTTCTGATTTACCTAATATCTGCAAATAGTTTTATTGTTTTGATATTTGGGGTAAAGGTACTGAAAAATGCAGAATTAGTACAAGAGGACATTTCAAAGGCCCAAATAAGAGACAGGCATCAAAATCCCCTCTGTGCCTTATAAAATGTGTTCTGCAAATGCTACTGATTCACTTCTTACTGCGGCCAGCACATGGAAAAACAGCTAGGACAAAATGAGCAAGTCTGTGTTTTCACATCTTTTTTTTTTCATTTACTATTGTCCTGATCTTACAAGTACTAGGAACCAATGAATCAGATATTTTTATTTATAAGAAGAAGTCTCACTGAAACTGTCTTGGTGTAAATCAGATTACTGCATGCCTTTAGGAGTTTAATCTCTGCTGAGAGAAGGGCAGCGGGTACTCACAGCATCGTATCTGGGTTTGAGGGAAGTGCATAGGCTTCTGACTTGGGTTTCGTGTGCTGCTTCTACTCTCCTCCAGCTGCTGGCCAGGGAGTTTGAAACCACTTTGTGCTTGTCCTTGCAGTGGTGATTCAGTATTTCTGTTGGCATGAAATGGAGCCTGAAGTAGGGCTGCACTTTGCGCTCTTGCAGGGAAGAACAGCTTCAGGTCTTCCATCTGTCCTCTAGCGCCTCTTTGCAGCGGCAGGCATCTGTATGGCTCCGTTTCAAAAGCGTTCCTCTTTTTATAAATACCTCATTCAACAAGCAAAATGTGTGTTTGCAGTGTGGTTCGATTATCTGAATTGTGGATTGCAGCAGAAAACACTAGGAAATGCCTGGTCTTGTTTCTAGCCATTACTACATGCAGCAGAGATGCAAAGGTGCAAATTGCCCATCCAACTGTTGAATTTGCTCCGAGCAGAGAGAGGTGGACCACACCGGAACATGAAGCATAGAGTCAGCCATTTCAGGTCAGGCGGTGAATTGCATAAATTGAAAGCAGAATGTTTTATAGCTCTGCAGGTGTATTTTTCAACATATCTCAATGAACATCCCTTCTTCTTAATTAGAAAAGCTAAATTTATATTACCTAATGGATTACTGTTACCCGGACAATGATAAGTGGAAGCTGACTGGACACAAAAATATGTTAAAGGGCACTTTTGGAGGTTAAAATGAGAAAGTAGCGGAAACTTTCTGCTGAAAAAATACTGAATTTTGAGAGCCGCAACAAGTGTACTCTCAGGAGAACACCATGGGGACCCTGAACGGTTCTAAAATGGACCGTTTATTCACTACTTGCCTTCAGTCCTCTCTACTACGCCTGTCAGCAGGGGTGGTTACAACATAATGGGGGAGAGGAGGAAAAAGTCATATTCTGAGTGAGCTCCTGAGGGAGTTAGTACGCATCTAGAGTTTTTGGTTTTATTCCTTGTGGCAGTAGTTGGGGTGTTAATGTTATATTCTACAAGAGGTTCTATTGGCGTCGGCCTGATTCCTTGTCACACTGTTGTGATAGCAGTGGTTGTTACAGAAGTGATTACCTGTTCTTGCTCAAAACACTGAGTTGGTCTTTTCCACTTGATGACCACATGATCAGGCTGATCATGGGCAACTGAACCTATGCTTTCCCATAAAAAACACTGGAGTGAAAGTGTTCCTTCTAGTTATGTCCAGGCTGGCTGCATTGCTGTCATTTAATGTCAGCAGCCCAGCTTTAGAAATAACATGTCTTGCCTTCTTGCAAGCATATGATAATAATTTTTTTATGTTCCTGCAAAATTGTGGCTATGTTTATTTACAAGGAGTGTAATCTGTGTTGTGACTACAGTACTTGCTTAGAGTATGGAAGATTTTTTTCTGATGGATCAGAGGAAATTTCAGTCTTAAATTTCTTGGCAGGTACTTTTGCAAGTGAAAAAACAAATGATGACAATTATGAAACTAATGCAACATTTGCAAATTGCCCTTCAACTCTGTTTGACTGTCCTTGCTTTGCTGCTTTCTGTATGCTGACTTACTAGGTTGCAAGTTTAACTACTTCAAAGAAACTGCTAATAACTCATTTAGGTGAGAAGAAAAGTACTGCATTACACAATGGTAAACGGAGTAGTTTTTAGCGATAGAGTATCATTTTCTTTAGTGAAGCCAGAACTAATTACTTAATGTCTGTAAAGTACTCTGAAAGTACGAAGTGTTAAATACTTAATAATCATGCTCAAATCACGGCGGTTTTGTCAGTACTTGGTGTCATGTTTGCAGGGCTCTGCATAATAAGCCTTGCATGCTCAGGCTCCGCGATGGCTCTCAGATTTTCACAGCACAAAACCCCCAGAGTCTCCCCCCTTGTATGTCACTTCCCTTTCCTCCCTCGGCAAATTTCTGAGAAAACCCTGGACCTTTTGAAAATTAAAATCGCTGCCCGGAAAGCTCTGTGGTGCCTGGCTCGGGGCTGGGAGCGCGGCGACGCGAGCGCAGGCCGGGCCGCGCGAGCCAGCGAGCGGCTGGAGGGCGCCGCGGCAGCCCGGGCAGCGCGGCCAGCGCCGCTCGCCCCCGCCGCCACCGCTCGCTTCCTTCCTTCCACCCGCTTCCCCCGCCCGGGCTGCGTTTCACACCTCTGCTCCAAAGTTCACCTTGTCCTCTTTCTCTTTCTTTCTCTCTTCCCCCTCCTCGCCCCCCTCCCGTTCTCTTTTAACAGCAGGAAAGAATTTCGTACACACCTCCAGCGAGCCCGGTACCAAATTACACTTCCTCGTCACCACTACATGTCCCAGTGCCTCGAGCGATCAGGATGGAGGAAGACGCGATCCGCCTGCCGGCGCACCTGCGTGAGTGTCCGCGCGGCGGCAGGGAGGGAGGCCGCGGCGCGGCGGGAGGGCGCAGCTTCAGCACGGGGCGGCAGCAGGGAGGCCCCCGCGCTTTGGCCATTTCTCTCTTCAATTTTCTGAGCTTTTCTTTTTTTAAATTAAAAAAAAAAAAAAAAAAGGAAATTACTCAGAAGTACAGCACAGACTTTCCCTGCCTCCTGGCTGTATGGCTTTGGCTTGTTTTCCCATGATGGGCAGAAGCACAGGGGTTTCGTTCTGAGGGGAAGCGTCACGGGCCCTATCCGCGCCTCAGGAATCGCTTGGCGCTGCCCTGCAGCGCAAGGAGTGACTTTCCCTGACCATGGCAAGTGGTTGCGCTGTGGGTATTTTTCAGATTGGTTGTGGGCCTTGGTGGTAAATTATGCTGGTGCCCAGGCTCTTTGCTGTGGAGCCTGAATGCCAACAGAGGCATACGGAGAGGCAAAGGAGGAAGAAGGAGCTCGGCTGCACACAAAAGGATGCTGCAAAGGAGGAAGGGCGCTTCACTGACGCTGAAACTAAAACTGGAGCTGAGGGCAAGGCCAGAGCCAGGCCTTTCCTTGCTGGGATGATTTAGTGCTCCAGAGAGGAATAGGAAAGGCCAAGGGCTGTTGGTCGATGGGAGGTGAGCTAGTGTGATGGAATGGGGATAAGGGTAGAATTTTCCCTTCTAGTAAAGGAAATTACTTTGGTGTATACTAGAATTTTAAGTGAACTTTCATCAGATGTTACATTCCTGTGCAACTTGTCATACAAATGTAGCCAGGGGCAAATGTAGTTCTGTGTGGTGCCATCTGACAAAGAGGTCTGTGATTTCAGAAGAGATCTGCGAGGCAGTCTTTCTGTCAAAAAATGACCACGTTTTATCATTAGGTTTCCTCCTTCCTGTCCTCAGCCGTCCTGCAGCCACACTCCTCTTTCTGGACGCGGACTCTTCTCCCAGCCTTGTTGCAATGCTCTGTTCCCTCCCTTGCTGGCCCATGACTGAAACTGCCCCAAGGTCACTCTCTGCCCGCAGGGCAGTCTGCGCAGTCCTGTTTTCTGCCTCATGCTCTCTCCTGCGCGTGCTGCCGCGCAGCCCAGGCTGCACCTTTGATGTGCTTCCGATGCAAACAGTAATCATTACCGAGTGGGGCTGCCACTGCCTTGATGGCCTGGAGCTCCCACAAGCTGCTTGCTGGTGCTCGTGGCTACTGGCCAGACCAGTGAGTACTTGCTGCCATGGTACATTTTTATGCTTCTGTCAAAACTTAGACTCACAGTCCAGCACACAAGCAATTTCTCTCTCCTCTGTGGGTTTCAACCCCAGGCACTCCCCCCACCATCACTTCAGTCAGTACTGAAGATATTTATCTTTCCTGTTACTTCTGCTGTGGGAACTACAGATGTCCTCCTCACATCTTAAGATCATTGCTGGTTTTCTGTTTACTTACTGCTTTCACAGCAGGGTATAACAGATGTACTAGATTGGATGGCAGAGACTCTTGATATGAAAAAGTGCGGGTCCCGTGTTACACTACCAGCTTCCCTCACACCAACTAGCCAGCATGCTAGACAAAGGATGAAGCTCATAAGGTTTCTTTCCAGTGAAAACGTTTTTTTGCAATGTTTTATAGGTGTGATTCAAACTTTTGCCCTGATTTTTGACTGGCAGCTAAGATTTGCAAGAAGGCTTCCCTCCCAGTAATATTTCCACACCAATCTGACTTGTTGTAGTGTAAAAACACAGAAGATTAATCATTACATATCTGTGGAATATTCTTCCATGGTCAGTGTCTCAGATTGTAAAACACTTGGAGCACGTTCACATAGCATTAGTAGTTCTAGTTCATGGTAGGGTAGTATTTGTAGCTCAGTATGTAATAATTATTCACCCAAGCATTGTCTCATTTAGAACCACTTTTTAAAGGATATAGATTCATAGCTAGGGCAGAGAGATCATTATGGATATCTAAAAACATCTCTGATACAGCTTAACTTACAGAACTTCACTAAGTTCTTTGTTTAAGCCTATTCCTGAGCTACAGCATGTTATGCAGAAAGATTCCTGCTCTTATAAAAAGACTTCAGTGATGGGGAATATATAAGGTAGCTAGATAGGTTCCTTAAATGCTTAATTATACTCCCTATTTGCCCTTCTTTTTTAAGTGCCCTATTTATAGTTTGAATTAGTCGAGCTTCAGTTTCCAACTATTAGATCTCATTATTGCCTTTCCTGCTAAATATTGTCAAAGACTACAGTTGATGAAAGGTGCTTTTGGATAAAGTTGCTTCTTAACCTTTTCTTGGCTAAGCTGTATAGGCAGAGCTGCTTCTTCCTGTCAGTCTTTCTGTTTAGGTTCCAGATTTCAAATTCTGTTTGTATCATCTACTGTGAACTGTTCCCACTTCAAATGTCTTAAAGTGAGGACAACAGAACGGGAGATAGTATTCCAGGAATGGTCTTCCTATTATCAAGTACAGAAATAAATACACACCTTTTTGATCTCATGTCATAAGGTTCAAGAGGTATGAATGTCAGATTCTGCAGTTTCTCCATGGACTCTCCTCCCCTCAGCTCCCCTTTCTGCCCTTCCCCACTCCCCTTTTTTATTTTTTTTTATTTTCTCTAAAGGTGTGTGTCGCAAAGAGAGCTTCAGGCCTAAGTCTGAATACCTTCAGAGTCAGGCAAAGGAGCTAAATCATAGTTCAGACTATGCAATTATGTACAAGCTTGGAGGTCTAGATCACGAAAACTTGAGGATTTTTAAATCTGAGATTTTGTTTGGCTCTGGCCTTATTTTGTTTTATTGATTAGGTGAAGTGTAATAGCCACTCTTAACTCTCACTCCAGTGCAAGGGGGAGATGTGGTAAGTTTTGGCAGTCACACACAGCGCTGATGGCCAAGCAGGCCTCCAGTCAGTCTCTGTTTCCGTGACGTTCTGGGGACATTTACCGAAACAAAAGCAGAATTTAGCCCCGAACCTTACTTTTCATTTCTGCTGACTCGCAAGTTCCAGAGCTACGCTAAAGGCAGATGTAACTGAAAGCAGTGGTTGGCCCAAGCCTTCTGGTGGCAATCAAATACAGAGGAAAAAGGTAGAACAAGAAACACATGTCCCTGATGAACATGAGTGGACTCTAGATGTATTTTTTTCTATTAGAAATGTCACTATTTCTCATGTTTAAGGTGATGATAGTGTCAGGACAATTAGTAGACAGTTGCCTTTGGTGTAATAAATCATTCCTCACTGTTTGATGGGCAAATGGGTCTGCACCATGCCAAACTGATTTAATCCAGAGACAGGTAAAAATTGGAAATGCAAGGATGAAGAGGTTGAGCTGCATATCACTCTTTGCTGCAAGCATACAGAGCACTCCTCCTTCTCTGTGGTCAGTATAGAGAGAACCTCCTCTTCCTGGCAGTGATGGGAAGACACTTTCGCCCTTCAGACACTTTCTTGTTTTAATCGACTACTTTGATCCCAGCCTGCCCTACTCCTGTAGTGTAGAATTGCAGTGTAATCAGTCTGGGATAGTTAAAGGTCTGGGATAGTGAGGGTCATTTTCTGATAATGCACACCTTTCTCTGGTATTGTACTTCTCTGTAAGGGACTTTTGCCCTGTCCTTATAAACATACTCAGCCCTGCTTTCCTAGTAACTAAGTATTGGGGTGTTGTAAATAAGTTATCAGCTGGAGAACGTGTTTTCCCCTGTTTTAGGTATGTAGGCTGAAAGCACCGTGATTTCAAGTTTGTTCCTTGTCCCTGGTGCGTAGCTCGCGGTAGCTCTGCAGCATGTGTGTGTGATCTCTGCTGCACTAACGTCAGGTAGGGTGTTCAGGAAGTTGAGGTGGTGGCAAAAGTTCAGGAGAAGCAAGTTCAGCTCTCACACAGGGCTTGGCTCTTGATGCCTTTTGTGACCTTGGATGATTTGACTTGGTTTCTCTGCTGTAAAATCAAAATAACAGGGATGTAAAGATTCTTAAATGTTGTAAGTTAATGACTACCCAAATGTTGTGATAATTAAGAATGCTGAAATAGTTGGAAGCCCAAAAGCTATTTGCATACCCGTTTTCTATGAGAAAATTTACTGCATACTCCTCCAGGAAGAAAGCAATCCTTTTTCTTTTCAACCTTTTTATCTGGCCTGGTACTATGTCACTAGTTACTTATTTGGTGCTTTGGCCAATAGCTTGTGGTAAAAAGTTCTTGGAATTGGATGGAGGGTACCACATTTAAGAAAGATGATTATGAGTACCTTCCTGTGCTATTAATATGCACTGGATCAGAGGGAAAAGATAGACAAGATGAAAATAAGGCATTTTGCTCCCTCTCCTACAACAACGACTGCAATTATGTGGTAAAGTCTCCATGATTTCCTTTCTTCTTGTTTGAACATAAAGGTTTGTCAGCAAGAGACACAGCGTGTCAGCCCTGGGAAGAGACGTGTTGCATGCTCTGGTGCATGATTCACCTGTGCCTTGCATGTTGCGGTCACTTTGTGCAGCCTGATTTTCATCTCCAAGGTCACCTTCCCTTGGGACTGTGTGTGTCTTGTGCAGGGAGATGGACACTATTTCACAAACAAGGATTTCACAGCTTCTACTGATAAAACTGTGAACAAGAGTTCATTTCTTCTTCTTACCTAATTTATTTGCCTTTAGTGTTAGTGACCTTCATATACCTGCAGCCCATTGTTGTCACAAGGCAAATTGTATGTACCTTTCGGTACACATCAGCCAGTTACTCTGGGCAACAACTAACTTTTCCTCCTGTTGCTTTTTTCTGAATTCCCAACAGTCTGCGCTGGTATTCGGAATAAAATGACGTGGTCTAGATGTTAATGCACCTCCATCACCTCACAAGGAAGGACTTTTGCCTGAGGAGTTTAGTGCTGTCGTCGTCTTGAATTTTTTGACTGCGGTCATACTTTTTTTTTTTGTTTTGTTTTGTTTTTTGTAGTGGTAGTGGAGAACGGTAAGAACTTACCTGTAAATTG